TTTAAAACTAGAGGGTGTTTGTTTGATTGAGATTATTTCTATTCACTCAAATATATCAATCTAAGAGTTGGCTTAATTAATTATAAAATAATTTATCACCAGTAGGGATGACCTGGTATATAAGTTCCCTTCAAAATACTTCCCACCAATGAAGAAAACTAGAATGCATATAAAGTTATTCAATTATATACACTTGGATAGTGATACTTTATTTGATGCAAAGGGCCCTATAAGGAACCACTATGGGGGGCCCACATTACAACCACTAAAGTGGATTTAGGTGTAGACCTTCTACAATGGTTTGGCAGTGTTACAAATCTGGACCTAAGTCTTGTGATTTTAATGATAATAAACATTATTGAATTTTTAGTATATTATTTGAAATTATTACATATCTACTTTTCCCTACCCACTGACATTTTAGGATCATAACTCACTTGCAACATCAATCAACTCAAGATTGGGTAGAGTTGGAATAAAGTCTATATTTTTCATTATTTCTATTCTTTTTAGCTTTTTAGAGTCAAATATGTATTATGGTGGATGCTAAAGCTAAATAACCTTGCACGTACACACTCAATGGAGTGAGTTGGTGAGTTAGAAAAATTTATATTTTCTTAACTAATCAAACAATATGATTTATATCGTACTGGACGATCAGTTAATCAGAAAACTCTAATTAGGGCACCTATGCTAAGTAATATTGATTAAACTCATCGTATTATAAGATCCCTATCGTACAAGACTATAATAATATGTATTTAAATTTTAGATTTTTTTTTTGGAGTCATTATAACTCCAAAACGTAATCTGACTTCACCATCGTGTTTTTATTGTAGCATTTTACTTACACATTTTTTTTCATAATTTTTGGACACAAGTGAAAATCTATAAGAAATTTGTACATGTCGGTACAAGTGAGGATTTGGGACCTTCAGGTATCTGTTTTGCAAACCAATTTCAATGATATTTTTCAAATAACATGATGTATTTTATAAATATTTTTATGTTATTTTTTTAGCCCAAAAATTATTCATTTGATTTTTATACTAAAGAAGTTGATTAATTAATTTATATAATATTATATTATTATTATATTCTAAAATATCATAACCCACTTAATATTTTTTATAAAAATCCATTTCCTCTTTCAACTAATGGCAAACAAAGAGACGGTTTGAGAGAAATGTGCAGAAAGAGAAGAGAGAGAAAAGAAGACTTGTGATTTGGAGGTCATGGAGCGATTTTCGTCCGTTGACGTAGTTAGGAGATTTGCTTGTCTCATTGTAAGGAATTCATATCTTATTTTTAATTTCAAAGATTTTGTTTTTTTTATATTTTTCCACTCAAATTTATGTTTTCGTTACCAAAGAATGTGAATAACTTTATATTGACAAAACTTTCACTGCGTAACTTTTTGTATGTTATAGAGATCATGATTATGAGCATTTTGAGTATTTATTTGATATTTTTTACTTGATGATTTTGAAATTACATCAATTTTTGTCTACTCCAAAATTTATTTTTAAGTCTAAAAATAGTAGTGTAGTACAATAAAAGTTTTAAAATATCATTTTACATAATCCTTAGTGATTTGATAATTGTTTAGAAATGTGAATTTTTTATCTAATAGGATTTTTTGTTATATACCATTATGACATTTTGGCATCTTCTTAATTAAGCTCAATTATACATTATTTATTACAATGCATTGAAAATGGATGTGGCTATGTGATTGAGTAATAGTTGGTCGCTATTACTATTATAGTATTGTGATAATAATATATATGTGTGAAATAAACAAGTAAAAACTGGTTGACCCATTGGTTGGAGACTCATTGACCTATACATGATGGTTGACTGACTAGCTTTTCTTTAAATATTATGGTTTGGTGTTATTCTATACTAATTCACGTGATACACTGATTGAGAGTTATAAGGAGATCATTACTGTGCCGATAGGAAAAGAGTGATGACTACATTTACTGAGGCAACGATTTACTAACATTGATAGTAACATCGAAAAACATCATGATAGCCAGGATTTCTTACTTGTTTTTCGTGACTACTGAAATGCATGTTTTTGAGGGATTTTTTTTATTATTGTACATATTTTTGTTACTGCATGAATTTATTATTATTGCATTATTCTACTGCTCATATAACTATATTGTTATCGTTACTGATTTAAATACTATTACTATTTGATATTACTGATTCATTATACTGATATTGAGCACGTGATTAACATATTGAGATTGAGAATGAGATATTGATTTAATGTTTATATATAATACATGAATAGTATGAATACACTCTTTTATGATTTTACTACATTGATTTGATTTCAATTATCTTTATTGATATTTTGATTCGGAGTTTTATCCGATTTTTTTACTAATTGGTATTACGAATACGATGATTTCTTTATAGATTTGATACTCATACTAGTTTACTACTTTACTAGCTTATGTACTGTAGTATTTAACAATTTATTGATTATACTATTGCATATAAAATTTATTATTTATGTAATGATTTAATGATCATATGAATCTATCTGCTATGATTTGACTATTGACATGCATAGTGCTCATTTGTCGTGCTTTGAAAATTCAGTTATATATTTTGGTGATATGTTGGTCTTTTTAAGCTCATTATATGTGATTAAATAATTTTAGGTCAGGGCATGAGAGCAGGAGTGTGAGGCTGGTCATAATTCTTCATGTTCTATTTCTTTTTGTTACAGTCTTGAGTAGTGTATATGATTTTTGGGAATGAATATAAATATGTACATTGATGTTTTGAATTATAGAATCTGTTTTAATGTTGTTTACTACTGATAGATGATTTAGATAGCTCTAGGTGTTATTTATTAAAAGATTAAAAGATTAATTCTTTCAAATTAGATTTTGGGACATCATAAGGGCGAACAGTTATAATCAACAAAATACCCGCCAATCACAATTTATGTAATATTTTAATATTCTAAAATCCATGTCTAATATTACTGTACAATATGCAACGTACTATACGATACATTACAATTATGCCTAAATTGATCATGTGATTAGGGGAGCACACATCAAGGGAATGAAGATAATCAAGCTAAAAATTCAATTACAAGAGCTAAAATCCAAGCCCAAAGAAATGACCAAAGAAAATGTCCAATTATAAGAGCTCAACCAATAGCACAACAAAGAGCTCATAGTTTTAAATATTTTAAATATAATTTATATTTTACATTCTATCTAGAATATTGTATGGTCGGTTATGAAATGATTTGGTTAGATTTAGGCATTAAAAAATGAAATAGTTCTCCTTTTAAATGTCAAACCCCTTTTGCCTGTCATTTTCCTTTATTTTTGTTCAAAAGTTATAATAACTAAAAATATGGGCTAGCATGCATTATAAGTTTTAATTTTGAAATGAAATAATTTTGTCCAAAAATGCTATTCATTTGCTCAACACTTGATGGCTTCAGGTTTTTTTTTGGAGATTAGGTAGTTATATTTGGCGACTTTTGTCACGTTGGTTTAACATCTCTAAAGGTCACCCATCTCGACATTATTCCTCCCGCATGAACGCGTATGACTTTGAAGTTTCTATTAAAATTTCAATCATTACATTAAAAGAAAAAAAAAATAAAGATTTAAGAATTTAACTTCTTTTATTTGAGTGATTTCGCACTTCTTATGAGTTATAAAAAAAGTATGCTACAAAATCAATAGTTTTAATCGAATAAGGGATCTTGCTGTTATCTTCGAATAAGTAAACAAAACCGTCATCACTATTCTATCCAGAGGATGGATTGGGGAAGTATGTCCTCGTTAAAGTATTAGTTAGGTGATTTTTAAAGTTCAATAATTTGTTTTTATATGCGTTTAATCAATCTAATAACTTTAAGATCCATCATGATCAAAACATGATAAAAATAGTTTGATTCAATTATTTTCCCAAATCAACATAGTTTTAGTTTTATATAGGGTGAAAAGATTCGGGGCACCTAGCAATTCCATGGGTTGCCCGTTGGATGGATTTATTATTCTGTGCGGAGTCCGGAGTTTGGAGGGAGTCCGGAGATCAATAAAAATATGTCACATCACCTCAAAAATATATCACGCTCGGTACTGATACCGAGCACTAGGGCTGCAAGTGAACCAAACGTTCGGCGAGCTACTCATTGTTCGGCTCGATTAAAGCTCGTTTGTGATCATTTAATTAATTAAACAAATAAAATTGAACAATATTTTAAATACTCGATTCTTAAATAAACAAACTTGAACACTAATGCGTTTGACTCATTTATGTTCGCGAACAACATCATTTGAAGCTCGTAACAAGCTCAACATTAAACTCAATAAGAAGCTCGATAAAAACTCGATTCGTGTTTGATTTTGAACTCGTGAATAAGCTCAATAAAAATAAATAATATTTGGTTTAGAACGTTTCTCCTTTCCATTAGAACGCTCTTTCAGATTGTTGGGTATCAAATATTACTTAACTTGCTTCCTAAGTAATTGTAGCTTTATATGTCTCTTTATTTATAAATCATTGTCTTTGTTAATGCTGTTGTTAGGAAAATTCTTTGAAGATGATATTTGCTTATAAATCATTGCATTTGTTACATAGACAATTGATTTTATAATAAATGTGTTTATTCATAGATATGTCCATGAACGTGTTTGTTTGATAGTTTAAAAAATTCGTTAAATATGTTTGCGAACATGCTCGATGTAATCGTTTGTTCGAAAGCTCGATAAAACTCGTTTGTTAAGTTAATGAACATCTAAAAGTAGAACTCAATTATAGCTCGTTCGTGTTTGTTTGTTTAAAGCTCGATAAACACTTAACGAACCGAACATGAACTGAACATGAACCGAACATGAACACTTATTAATTTAAATGAACCAAACATGAATCCAAACAATAAAGCTCGAACAAACATGAACCAAACTTGAACAAGTTGATATTAAATGAACACAAACATGAACACTCACATACTCGGCTCGGCTCGATTCGTTTGCAGCCCTACCGAGCACGTAACCAGGCAGGAGAACCGTTCGGTACATAATAAAAACTCCATTGGATGACAGACTTCAGCTCCTCCGCAAAGCACCTAAATTATAGAGCATTATATGCTGTGCGTGAGCATATTTTGTGCTTCAGCGCTGATTATTTTCAAAGCACTTCAAAAAAAAAAAAATCTGGAACACCGAATCAGCATGGAAAAATAACAGCACCGAAATATTCGATGGTCAAGCTGGAGTTAGTATAAATGCAACATATATAGCAAAATAGAAAAGTTACTCCAGCTGCACACACTCAAAATGTTGCAGTCACAAGCATCAATAAGGAAGCTGACAGCAGCCACTCAACTGGAGGACCCTCCATCAGGCCTACACAGTTATTGCAGAGAAACCGGCATAAGGAGATGAGAAGGGCACCAAACATTTAATATTTCACTACAGAACGTGGTTTCTACTCATAGATCTATCCAAAAGGTTAAAAACAACTGTTCATTTATAACCAAGGATGTTGTAAAAAGTAAGCTTTGATATATAGCAAAGAAAGTAAAGAGTAAAAGACAAGAAGGAGCATAGATCTTCAGAATAGCAAATATGCTGAAGCACATGTGACATTTACAATAACAACAAAGATGCTAGCCATAGTTACCCTTCTTCAAACTTCTCCTCGAATCTGACAAGAAGACTCAAATTTCTCAATTTGCCAAGTTGGCATTCACTAAAAGAATGCTAATGCCTTCAAAACCAGGGTGAAGTTAGTTTTTGTAGAGATCTCCAATTGTTTTCAACTCAAATTGTTTAATTTTGTCAGCTAAACGCTTCATGTTTTCATCATAGACATATGGGATCTTCTGATGCCAAGTCAAATTGCCTTTGGAAGGCATTTGGATGAACTCTCGGCATGGCTCACTCAATACATTGATGGAGTTGTGGTAATGATAGTATTTGATCATGGATTCAGTCTTATGTGTGGTTGGGCCAATGACATTTTCAGACATGTGCACTCCAGTTGCATAGGCATTTTTTGCTTGGATTGCATATTTCCTATCTCTCCTCACTCCGGTGATTGAATTTCTGAATACCAGCTTCTCAAATCCCCATTCCCTAATAACATACAGCAAAAGAATTCAGAATAAGGGGTAAAAAATGTAGTTCAATAAAGACATTTAATGATAAATAGTAACTCAAATTTTCTCCCTTTGGTATTTTAAGTTAACGCAATAAAGCCAATCATTAAAGACAAAATGTCTAGGCAACTTTACAAAATTTTGTTTCCCATAAAGCTATCATAACTTTCTTTTGACAACATCTTTCTTATTATTTCTTAGAAAATTCTGCAGGGATACTTAGTTTTTCACAATTGGATATATTATCATATGATGGCTGTAAGAAAGTTCCAGTCAAAATTTTTCAATAAGAAAAAAAAATTATAATACCCACACCAATTTTAAAAGAAAAATAAGTATATTATAGAATCTCTCCAGCCACTCTGGGCATCTCCAACCAAACATCAAACAAGCATTTGCAGTCGCCATGAGCTCCAACCAAACGCCAGATTCAATGGCATTTTGCGCGAGATGAATAGCGTGATGTCAATATTGACATCGCACTGTTCACAAACGTTCTTTCATTCCATTGGAGAAAGAATATACTCGGTATATTCTTTTTTGATGTTATGAAATGGAGTTCGTTTGGAGATGAATTGCTGCAGTTTAGAATATTACGGTATTTTGAAGTGTAAAATGAGTTTTTCAGTTCGAGATGGTCACAGAAGCAGCATCCCCAAATGGACTCTAAATGCAATATGTTCCAAGCTGCAATGCTACATTGCACTTTCATATAAAAAAATGTCATATTATACTACCACTCCAACTTTGCTTAAACAAAAATTATGTGCAGTAAAATAAGAAGACGCTCCAAAGCAAGAAAGAGGGCAATTAAAGGAAACATTTTCTTCCACATTCCTGATGCTAAAAAACCTACTCGTCAACAACTTCAAAGAATAACTAGCATTCACTGGAATCACAAAAAATACACATTGTAAACTTCTTAATCCCCACCCCTCTGCTAAAATTGATACTACATAGAGTAATCGGCATAATGAAAAAACAGTAACTAGGCACTTCACTCTAGTCACTATTAGGATTCTCAGATCCCAATAAGAATGCCACTTTTCAGTAATCTCAAGTTATAAGTAATTCAAAGTCATACTGTAAACCCCAAAGAACCAAAATTGTCATGAAACAGAGAATTAAACCACATTAAAACAAAACAGAATGCAGAGCAACGAAAATGAAGAGACTTAATCTTACCTTGAATAATCCTTACTGGGATCTCTGACGCAGAGAGTACTTGACATTGGATTTTGCTCAATCGTGAACTGCGTATATTGGGAAAGTTCACCAAGCACTTCCTCAAGTGTTCTCCCATCGGGCAAATAGATATACTCATCCACATCAAAGTAGAAAGTCCAGTTCGCCGCATGCCTGTAACGATGAAGACAGTCATTGACAACCAAGAATTGATTATAGTAGTATCCGTCATAGTCCGCCTGAGCCCTGATATCCTGAACAGTAGCCCGACCGAGCTTCACCCAAGGCTCCAGCACCGCCCTCACCGACGGGCTCACGCCGCCAGCGTCATGGAAGACAAAATGCGATCTTGGGCCGAAGAAGTGAGCGTGGTAAGCCATCCACTCCCGTATTCTGCTCGAGCTCAAGTTTCCATAAAGGGAGGAACCACAGTAGAGGTATTCGTACTTGTAGGGAGGATGGAATCGGGCTTCATTGAAAGAGCCAGGAGCTTCTTCGAGGGCGACAAGCTTCTCGTATCGGCGAGGTGAGGGGGAATAGTAGGCGTAGAGGAAGAGTCGGCCGCCGGCGTTGTCGGCGTTGGGGACGACGGGGAAGGTACAGTTCACAACGACCACAGTGTAGATGCGGCCGTAGCCCCAGTCAGGTAGCATCTTGTATGCTTTGGCGCGGATGGGTGGCGAGGTATTGGAGTTGGAAACCCACTCGCACTTGAACCACGGCTTGCCGAAAACGTGGGTGGGCTTGGAGGCAAGGCCGACAATGGCGAAGGTGTTGGGTCCGCCGCGGTAAGCGCCCATTTGGACGAAGAGGGCGGCTGCACTGCCATAAGGCCGGAACGTGCGTATCCTTTGGTCACCAGCAGGTATGGTTGAGTTGAAGCGGGGAGGGATGCGTGAAAAGGAGGACGATGAAGTGATGGAGGATAAGGAGACCGTTGAGATGCTGGAAGATGCAGTCTTTTGCTTGAGACTAGACGTGGAAGTGGAGTAGTTGTAGATGGTGCAGGATGAGGAGAAGAGGACGAGTTCGTAGGGTTGAAGTTGCCAAACGGCCAGCACTAGAGAGAGGACAACGAGGGTGACGATTAAGGTCTTGGCGTCGAGGCAGGAAAAGGAAATAAGAGAGGGGGTGGACACCACCGCTGCTCCAACGCCACTGCCGTCCTTTCCCATCGGGGTTCCCTCTCTCTCTCTCTTCTCTCTGTCTCTCTTTGCAAGGTTCTCTCCTTCGTTTTTATTGTTCCATCCACATTCACAAGGTTCTTGCCCTACTTTCTATTTTGGTTATTCACAGGTGGGGTGATGCAGGACAAAGAAAGGGCATAATGGAAGCGAAGGTACTGCAGATGCAGGAAGCAGACATATGGAGAAGCTGTGAGTTTTGTTCTGTGAAAGTAGATGCGCAGGAAAGTAAGGACTGGATAATGGAGGAAGAAACGGGAGATCAAGGAACGATATAGCCATTGATAATTCCAAAATTTACAATTGCCGAACAAATGCAGGCAATCGGGTTATCTTCGAGATTGGGTTTTGCGCAAATTCGTGGCCTTGGTTGGGTTCCTTCATTGTTATAAATGAAGAAATAAAGTTCGTTTTAATTTTCTGTTTAAAAGATTGGTTGAGATGTATAGTGATTCCAATGCCGTAAGGTGTAACGCTAGCAATTATTTCTCTTACGCCGAGATTATTCAGCACATTTATTCTGAAGAATTTATTATTATGATAATTGTTTTAAGAGTCTCAAATTTTAATTTTTGTTAGCGTCATCAACGGATTAGACATTTGGGAGTGTATCAAATGCTCTTTTTAATCAAAATTTGGTGCCGTTTATGATAAATGATTTCTGATTAGTAGACAATCTTTACTATTACCTTAAAAAATCCTTCATGTCAACATTCTGGAAACGATTTTCGTAAGGTAGTCTATTTACCATGATCTCTTAGAAGGTCTGAAAATGTTGTTCAATATTGAGAGCAACAAATAATAATAATAAACATGCGTTGGTCTATCACCTCTAAACTAATAGTCATTGTTGTATGAATTTCAAGGGAAGCAAATTTGGACTGGTGGGCAACTTTGTTTGTAATCTTGAATATGATTGTGGTCAAGTGAGTCACTCCAAAATTTTTCATATAAAAAATAATCTTGCTGGAAACTATCTAACATATAGCATCCAACAAATGCAAGAAAGCTTAAACTGAATTTCAAACTTTTTTTTCCCCAACTAGACTTCTACTCCTTAGGCAAGGTCATAGTCTCAAACTCAAAAAGGCAATAAGGGTTTAATGACAAACAAGGATTCAATTCGACCTCTTCCACACATATTATCATCATCAAGCAAATCTCTAGCAAACAGGATCAGATAGATCAAACATTATTTGTGGATTGTCTCGACCATAGCCACACATGTTAATGGCATCAAGAAACACACTGACAAATACAACCCCTCCAACCACTATTGCCTACCAGCTACAGTCCCTCAGACCTATGCCACTAGTCGATTATGGTCTCTTCAACCTCCATCGCCTGCCAACTATATTCCCTGCGACCTTCATCGCATATCGACTATGATCCCTATGACATTCATCACCTGTCGACTATGATGCCTATGACCTCCTTCGCCCAAAGACTATAGTCCCTATGACCACCATCATCTCCCGCCTACAATCCCTCTGACCACTATCACCTATCGACTACCATCCCATTGATCCGTAGCACCATCCAACTATGGTCCCTATAACCATAATAGCTCATCGACTATAACCTCTCTGACCACCATTGCTATCTAATTATAGTCCCTCTAATCAACATCACCCATCAATTAAAATACCTCTTACCACCAATCACCCTCCAACTGCAATTCTCGGACCACTATTGTCAGCTAATTACAGTCCCTCCCACCACTTTCCCCCATCGATTATAGTCCCAATGACCTCCATCACCCATCAATAATGATCCATCGGACCTCCATCGCCCACCGACAATAGTTCCTCTAACTCTATCTCCCACCAATTATGACCCTCCAATCGCCATTGCCTGCTGGCTGAGATCCCTCTAACTTCTGTTGACCGCCGATTATAGTATCTCTAACCAATATCACCTATCGACTACGACCTCCGTCACCCACCAACTCTTATCTTTCCAACCTTCATCACCTGTCGACTATGGTCCCTTTGACTACTATTCATCTACTACGATATCTCCAGCCACTTTCACCTGACTACGATCCTACAGACCAAACAAACATGCCAACATTATTTTGAGAAATACTCTCATATCATTATATTCTTCAAACTCTCATCATATAAAGTGCTTTGCATTATGTATATTGAGCTAACTCCTTCCCCCAATGATGGACATCATTTGTAATTAATAACAAACATTTATGGATTCATTTCAACTAGGCCAGACCCCATGATTTTTTTCCTTTTTAGGGTTTATACATAAAAAATATTAGTCTCTCTAACGACTCTTTCGCCTCTCTCCCTCTCTTATCTATTTGTGTGTTGGATCTTCATCAAAGCTTGGATGTTAAATTCTATATCTCTCTATTATTTTGAATGTTCCATGATGCAACAATATTGAGTTACCCTTCATGCCACTAAAAAGAGAGATTATAAGGTAACTGGCACTCTATCAATTGATGACATTGGATGATAGACATAAGGCTTCAGCAATATATAATAGTCGATGATGTTGGGCTTCAACAATGGACATCAACAAGAATCTGACAAAATATGGGCGGATGTTGGTGGTAGTCGATGGAGAATGATAAGCATTGAGTAGTACAATGTTTGAGTCTCATGCATAATTCTCTCATTATGGATCTCCCGTAGTGTGTAAAGCAAAATAGTAACTAAAATAAATCAAAATTAGAACTTCAACTTCTAGAACAAACATAAGTAATAAAAATTCATGAATTAAGATAACTTATGAAGTAAATAAAAAAAAAACACCTATTTTAATTTAGCTATTATGGTTAAGCATCCTAAATTTTGTCTAATACTTTTTATTATATAAAAATTATCAACTATTAATTCAACATCATACCTCTTTATAATGCCCTTTTATATATTATCAACGAACTTGCAAAAACATCATCTTACATTTGATTTCTTAATATTTTCTTAACAATCTTCATTATTTAAAATACAATCAAAACATGTAGAGTTTAGACCAATTTAATCAACTGATCAATAAGAGAACATATTATTGATTTTCTTCTCATTTACATTATTTGATATAGATAAAAAAAACTAGGAGAGAATATGAAAAACTTGATGTTAATGAGTTTTATTTTCAAAATGCTCCTATTGAATTTTTCATATAGTTTTTCTTTATTTGTTAAGCATTCAACATAAGAATTATTTGTAAGTTGACAAGGGCCTTGATTATTTGGGGTGTTTAGACTTTGCAATGCATTTATGATATCAGAATCAACTGATTTGTGGCTTATTGGATGTGTTTTAACTTTCTACTTATTTAGACTAAAACTACTAAAGTTAGAGCTCATTAGTTCCTTATAAGATTATAAAAAAGTTTTCAGCTATACTTTTGAGTACTTGATTTTGGTCCATTTGAATTCGAATTAAAGCTATTAATACCCATAGGTTAGTCTATATTTTTTTACTAAAATATAGCTAAAAATAGAATTCATAAGTTCATAAAGTTGATTCTAATTTTGCTTTTTAAATTAGGGTATTTTAAGATCTAAAAATTACACTAACATTTGTGCTTGATCAGATTATTTTTTGGTAAGGTCAATTTTATATCCAAAATAACATCAATAATGATAGATTTGATAATAATAAAAACAAAATCATCTGTGAATAATTTTTCTACAACTCAATAGGTAACTTATTAAAATTCAATCTATAACAATTGAAATATAATATTTGTTGAGCTTAGATACAATTAGAAAAAAATTAACATATATTGGGAATAGTAACCAAGATTCTCAAGTGACTGATAAAATTGGAGGTTTAATATGCTAAAAATGTTTTGTTGATGCAAAGTTGACGTCAAATACATATGAATGCTTCATAGTCATTTGAGTTATATGATTGACTTCAATACTAACTCACGGCTGACACTATTGCAAACCTGATCCAAGCACTGTGATTTTGATTATAATAAACATTTTTGTGACTATTACTACTTTATCCTTTTTTTATCATACTCTATTTTATTTTGTACGTACTAATATTTTCAGGAAATCAGTCCACCGTTCACTTTCAATTTTGATCAGCTCAAGACTGAATAAATCAGGGTTACAATCGATTTTCATTTTATTCTGCCATTTTCCTTTCTTGAGTCGTATCAAGTAATTTGGTGGATATCATTACCGAGTAACCTTGCACACATAAAGAGGGAGAGATAAAAATATTTTTTGAGAGATTTTTTTAAGTACATCTTGCTGTACTATTTTGACTTTGTAACCTTATTTTGTATATTGTGATTTTAATTTATACTGTACGATCTGTTGTGCTCTATCAAAACCTTAACAAGTAGAGGTTTTGAAAAAAAAAACTAATTATATGATGACCATACACTATGATTTGGTTCGTACTGTATGGTTACCTGTATATGATTTGGTTTGCCCTAATTAAAATCTTTCTTAATTAATTCTTCAATATTAGGAAATTAAATCATGGACAATTATTATGATCGATCATACTATATAATACAGTTTGTACTATATGGTTACCCGTATATAAAATTTGACATCCCAAAGACCATACCAAACAAAATCCATGATTTTTTTACTTATCATATTGTACGATGTCCATAATTCTAAAAGATCAACAGTGTACCAAGTTGGCCATCCCAAGGGTTATCCCTAACAAACAAAAGGAATTTCTATAGTTCGTATCGTATGATGTTTGGATCGTATTGTATGAAATGTTATAAAGGTTGAACAGTTCGTCTACACGGCCTTGTTGGACGAGTCTGAATTACATTGATCGTATGATATGATACATGTATCGTACTGTATAAACAAAAGATAGATCTCTTAACAATTATGGTTTCTTGAAGCTCACTACTTAAGGTTTTTTAATAATCCAGTAAAAAAAAAAATCTTTGGCAGTTGAGACTTCAAGAGAGAGTTTCTTGAGGAAGAGAAGAAGTAGAGCTTTGTGAGAGAATAGAGGGACATTTTGTGAGGGAGAAGTTGTGTGGGGATTCATATGGTTGCTCCAAGCAAGAATCTTGCCTAGCATCTATAAGCTTTTGCATGCATTCTCTGTGGCTTTGGAGAAGAAGTTTTTCAATAAAGATCATGGTTCTCTAACTATCATAAGGAGGGTAAAAATAGAGTTGTGGTTCTCTAACCATCACCAGGAGGGTGAAAATAGAGTTGTGGTTTCTCCGGCCATCACCAGAAGGATGAAACTAGAGTTGTGGTTCTCTGGCCCTCACCTGGAGGGCAAAAATAGAGTTGAGGTTCTATGTATGTAAAAGAGTCAAAGTTCTCTGTCACACAAGTGTGGTGAAATAATGTCAGTATAGGCTTCTCCGCCTAGCTATCGGAGCAAAAGAATAGTCACTACTATTTAGTGCAATACTTGGAGAGGGA